ATATTTTTCAAATATTATAATTGGGCCTATTATAGGTTGGAGCTATGAGCCCGTGTATTTAATACACGCAATATACACGGTTATTGCAGCACTGATTCTAATATGTTATGAATGTAGATATTAATAAAATGTATTGTAATATTATAAATAAATTATTGTTATATTGAACATCCAAATATTTTCAGCATCTTGCAACGGGAAATATTCTTTGAATCTAAAACAGTGATTTCCAACCTAGGGAAGCCTATACACATCGCTGGGGAGGCGCAAGCAGTCATCACAAAGTAAAATTTTCATTTATTAAATTTTATTATATTTAAAATGAAGAGAAAAAATGAAAAAATAATAAAGACTGGTTATCGTTATAGATTATAGAATATAGGGTCGTTAAATTTGATAAAGTAATCGATAAAGATTACAAGTGTTTAGTCATAGTGCACCATGCCACATCGTCCGTAAATTAATCAGTACGATAAGAGAAAGCCAGGGGAAAAAACTATTAGATTAGTTTAGACGCGATTTAGTTTTATTTTGCAGATGCTAAGTGCACGTCAGTGTCGTAGTACGTAGTCGTCGCGAGTGCACGTATATCAAAGTAATGGCTCCTCCGAAAATAAGAACGTATATCGATGATTATGTCAAATTTGGTTTTACGTTTATTGAAAAAGATGGTGTCCAAAAGACTGAGTGTGTTATTTGTCACGTTGTATTAAGTAACGATGCCCTTCGACCTAGTCAACTTGAACGACATTTGACCACAGCTCATCCGATGCTAAAAGGAAAACCTAAAGAGTTTTTTGTTGCTAAAAAAAATTCTTTAAGTAAAATGAAAATTGACCATACCAGAGAGTTTCAACAGAATAATGAAAAAATTGTTGAAGCTTCATATCACATCGTCTTCATGGTGGCTCAGTAAAAGAAATCCCATACCTTGGGTGAAACATTAAATAAACTTAGCATACTTAAAGCTGTTGAAATAGTACTTGGTGAAGGAAACAAAAGGAAAATAGCTCAAATATCTCTTTCAGATAATACAGTGAAACGACGTATAGATGAATTAGCTTTGGACATTAAAAATCAGTTGATTCATAAATTAAAACATTCCGTATTCTTTGCAATCCAATGTGATGAATCAACTGATGTAGCCAATTGTTGCCAGCTATTAGTTTACTACCGTTTTATAAATGAACAGCCCATCGCAGAAGAACTTCTATTTTCCCAGGCTTTAAATTCCATCTCAAAAGGCAGTGACGTTTTGTCTGCCATTGACATATTTTTTGATCAGAATGGTTTGTCTTGGAAAAATGTTGTAGGTGTCTGTACAGATGGTGCTCCTGCAATGTTAGGGTCAAGATCGGGTTTTGTAAGCCTAGCAAAAAATAAAAACCTGTCAATAATCGGTTCTTATTGTGTAATACACCGACAAGCTTTAGCTGCAAAAACACTGCTATCTGAACTTAAAAATGTACTTGAAGTATGTATAAAAGTTGTTAACACCATCAAAAGCAGTGCACTTAACTCGCGTCTTTTTAAGATTCTTTGTTCAGAGCTGCCCGCGGAACATTCTGTTTTATTATTCCATACAGAGGTTCGTTGGTTATCCAAAGGGAATATGTTTGAACGTTTGTACGAATTAAAATCTGAAGTGGAAATTATGCTTTTACAATTAGGAAAAGACAATCTTCGTGAGAATTTTACCGACGAAAACTTCACATTCTACTTTGCGTACCTAGTAGATATTTTTGAAACTATTAATAACCTAAATCTCAAATTACAAGGGAGGAATATAAATATTATAACCGCCAAAGATTCTATAAACTCATTTCTAGAAAAGTTACAGCTGTGGAAACGCCGAGTAAACAAAGAGACTCCTAATTTTTCGTCTTTCCGTCGATTGAACGAACTTATCTTTGATGAGGAAGAATTTAATTATCTTGTTGGATTGAAAAGTATAGTAATTGAACATCTTGATTGTTTGACTGATGAATTCATGCGATATTTTCCGGATTTTTCTAACAAAAGTTAGAAATATACGCTAACAAGTTGTCCATTCAGTGCTAACGTAGACACATTGCCGGATACATTTCAAGAACAGGAAATCGAGCTGAAGAATGATTCACGTTCAAAAATTGATTTTAACAGTGACAGCTCTATGGAAGAGTTTTGGGTAAAATACCAACCAATTTATCCTGAAATTTCAAATGAAGCCTTACAAGGCCTTGTACAATTTTCATCAACTTATTTATGTGAATCTGGATTCTCCTGCTTGGCTATTTTAAAAACCAAACATAGATATCGCTTGGATGTCGAATCTGACTTGAGGTATTCTTTATCAAACATCGAGTTGAACTTTAAAAAATTGTCCAAAGAAAAGTGTTGTCAGCCTTCACATTAAATGTTAATTTTATTATACATTCCATTATTTATATTTTTTACTAATTTATTATAATAATTACTCACGTCAATTTATAATTCCATTATAATACTATATTATTTACAATTATTTATATTTTATAATTACTATCATCAATAAAAAAGTAGTCTTTCCGAATATTATATAGTTTATTTGTAAAATTTAAAGTAAACAAAAAAATTATAATTTTTTTGATTTATAGCTGGGGGTGCGTGAGATTTTTGAAAATCTACAAAGGGGGCGTAGAATAAATGAGATTGGGAACGACTGATCTAAAATATATATATTTTTGTAAATATTAACACTCATATTTAAATATTACATTTTCTTCATATCTCTAAATTTATTACACTAAACCTTTAAGGCTTAAATTCTCAACATCTGTCGAAGTTATACAGGCGTGATTTAAGTATACCAAGTTAAAAATGTTTTCTTGGAAAAACATGCATACCGTGGGTATGCAAATTCTGAAATTTACATAGCAAATTATTGCAAATTAATGCTAAATTCCTGTGAAGATTTGGAGTCGCTAGCTTAAAATTGGGGGGGTTGTGAAGTTGACCTCCCCGAACAGAAAATATGAATTTCCAGAAAAACTGCGGGTATGCAAATTCTGAAAACTATATAGCAAATCATAGCAAATTAATTGCAAAATTTCTGTGAAGATTTGGAATTGCTAGCTTGATTTAGGAGAGCCAACTTCACGCACATAAAAACGATTTCAGCACATCGCTTAAACAATGATAATATTACTATTTGTTCTTTCGATTTTGAAGGCGAGCGCAGAATATTTCTTAATTATTTGTACAATATTATTAATACGATCGTTTTGCATTTCGTTCGGTTGCCCTACGCACCAGCCGATATAATCGATAATCATTATAATGGTCCATACACCGTCTAGTATTAGACGAGTCTCGTGTGCGATTGGTCGTCATCGGGTTTGAAGACGAAGAACGCATTGTGCTGCGCAAACGCAATAATTCGATTGATGGGTAGTTAGGGTAAACAATTTCCTCTGTATTGCTATTTAAACATTATCGTTATTAGCGAAACACTTTTAAGTTTAAAACCAAATGCAAATTCGTGCGCTACGTCTAGCATACGATTTGTATACGTTTATATAAATATACGTTTCGGACGTCTAGGGCGATGTACTTGCCATTTTTCGAACAAAATGCGGGTTTTATGTAAAACAAACAAAATTAATAATTTCATTAAAAACCCCGAAAACCGCGTTGGAATTCCATTTTACGGGAAAAGTGTTTTCAAACAACGGCAGGCAACCACACTCAGGTGTACGAAATGTAAACAACGAAGTAACGAAATGTCTTTGATTAATACTTACAATCAATATATATATTTATATATATATATATATATATATATATATATATATCGTTTTAAGAAGCTAAAATTTGGATAAGTGATATCACAACTGTTGATACAAATCGATCGATCGGTGTGATACGCGGCTAAAAAATTATTCGCACAAATTGATTCGCCTGCCGTTTTTAAAAAGTTACTTAACCTCAACTGAACTTAAAGGCCGATCAATCATACGAGGATTAAAATTTGAAATAATTTTCGCGCAGCAACACGGATCGTTTGGCCGTTGCGACCGTTCAATCGGTAATAATTCACCCCCCCCCCCCCCCCCCTCAATATCGTGTTAACCGTCGACAGTCGTATCACATTATTGTGATAACGTGTCATACATACAAGTAAATCGTTATCGGACTTAAGTTTACCTAAAACTAGGTGGTCCGGGCGCGGAATATTCGTGTCCTTCCCAGGGGCCCAAGCAATTGCAAACATACGGGACGCAGGTGGGCCGTACACAGTGCTGCGTTAAGCTATGTAGCAACCCCAGGGCAAATTAAAATATGCCGCCCTTAAAAAAATTACAATTAAAAATTATATACACCATACTATTAATTACAGTCAGTAGCGTATTAACGGGTAGGATAGATGTGTACTATGCAAGAGCAATACATTGACAAATCACCAGTATCTAAATTATACATATTTTAAATAGCACTTTATTACTTATTCTTAAATTTTATAATTACTAATTATACCTCACATATAAATTTAGAAAATTACCAAATGTGACAAAATATAATCATTACTTTTTATACTAGTTTTCTTTTATATTCATTTTTTCCTCGATCTGATGGTCGCAAACTAGTGAATAATTGCTGACCAATCAGTTTTAAGAGATCATCTTACTTGTTTAATATTGAAAGCAATGAAATACAGTCATACAGGAAAAATGTATAGTTATATATTTTTATTTTATGTTGATCCTCGAAAATTGACCACCCTATGGCAATTTCCCCTCCCTTGCCACCCCGTTTAATTCAGCTCTGGCTATGGACAGCATGGTTCGCAGCACGAGGAAGCAGCAGCAGAATGCGCGTGGATATTATCACGAGTGATCGACCACGATCGTCCGACAACGTGGTAATACGGTCGTGCGCGCGCGTCGCGATAGATCGCAGTACAACCACGTAGTCACCGCCACGATCGTGTTACCGCGACGGATACCGGGTGTAGCGGAACGGGCAATGCACTGTGTACTCACGTCGAATGCGCCTTTAATCAGCGGCCCGGCCTGGCCTATGTACAGTGTGGACGCGGAGTCGAACAGCAGCTCCACCGGGTCTCTGACCACCGCCACGGTCTGCGGCTCCAAGCACCTGCCGATCAGCTCCACCGCCTCCCTGGTCACTTTCAGGCTCAGCCGCGTGAACCTGCCCGTCTTCCACGGTACTGAGAACGTGGCCAACACGTTCGATGCCGACGAGTACTTGTTCACGTCCGTGTACAAAAAGCTCACGTTCATCCGGTTGGACGAGGACGGTACCACTTGCACGCCCAACTGCACCACCTGCGAATAGAACGTGCACGATAAGACGACTACCATTGTACCGTGGGGCTTAGGTTGCTCCTAAGTAGTAGTACTCCTTTCGCCTGAAAATGACGTTCCTCTTTTTGCCCACGTCCTCTTTTCGACCAAATTCGATAAAATAGTTTCTCATTTTCACCTCAGAGTATTAGTATTCTTTTCGTCTATGGTTTCACGTTCAATATTTTGGGAAGCACTGTCTCAAAATAGATGTGTACTATAATTTAATTTTATACCGAATGAATGTGAATCATTTCATTATTTCTTTAACAAAAAGTTTTTAATGTAATTCTCCACCAATCGGTACGTGGTTGTCTGTAATACAAGTAATACTAACTGATGTTTATATTAAATTAAATAGTACATATTTACAACGTTTTCCTAAAGATAGAAAAGTAACAGAACGTAAATTAAAAAATAATCCAACAGCAAAAAATAGGAGAGTTAAGTCGATTTGAGTTTATTTTATAGCATTCGACTAGACAAAACAATTTAATGAATACATTAAAAAAATATATCTAGCAAATACCATGTATATTACAAAAAAAAATTAATTTTTACAAAACAATATACTTTTTAACAAAGTTGCAACAACTAATGACAAATATATATTTATGTTTACTTTATAACAATTATTTGAATGTGCACAAAATCAATACATTTTTAGAGAGTAATAGAAGCCGCATCTACATTTTTAAACAGTACTTCCCTAAATATAGAACATGAAACTGTGGGCGAAAAGAATGCTAATACTTTTAGGCGAAAAGAGAAAGGTCATTTTTGGACGAAAGGAGTTCCGTCCGAACTACGATCATCATAGTAGGAAGAGGTGCCTACATCCCGGGCTTGTGATTCTCGACACGAAAATGGAAAATTTACATTCCATTTACAAAAGCTTCAACGTCTTTTGTATTTATCGAAACAATCGTCGAAAACAGTATCTGATAATATGTTATAATATTTTTAAATTAAACAATACATAAGGGTATGCATTTTGGAGTTTTGCCATAGAGGTGATATTTGGTTGTTACGGCTTTGATGATTGTATTAGGATCAATGTAGGGATATTACGCTATGAATGATGGAAAATAAAATTCTATATTACATTAGAATTTCAACATGTTTAGCCCGATTGATTATAAAACAATTTATGTATTAACTATATTTGTTTCATTTTTTTACTGTGTAGGCGTATGAAATTTAAATGCTTGTCTAGAATTTAGAAAGTCTATACAAAACCAAAATGCGTTTTTATAATTCCACAATCCTCGTGATAGCTAATTTAACAAAATTAGCTAAAAACTTAATTAGACGAATTTTACATATCATGAAAACGACACACATATTCACTGTTTCATTTAATTTATACATGATTAAAAACGAAATGTCTAATAAATTTTTAATTTTTCATTATTTACTTATTAACTGTTAAATAAACTAAAAAAAATAAAAGTTCTTACAAGGGTTGACTTAAATATTAATGATATTGAGTCCAACAGTTTCAACTTATGGTGTATAGGTTATACATTTTTAAGAATAATTTTAACTTCACTTAAAATTAGACATTTCAACCAATTAACAATGTAGATCGACTCTTACGTTGGATATACATACAAGTAAATTGCATATAAATACGATAATTTATGATCAATATTTTGCTTTTAAATCAATTAACCATGTTGTCAGTAAACGCATTAAATCTTAAATCGTTTAATATTAAAATATTATAAATTACAATGATTATTTTCCATTGTATCGTCGCATTACATATTTCTACAATTTCATAATCATATCAAATAATGTAAGATTTGACTCTTCTCTCGCGTACAATCGTATCCATAACATGCTATTAACTATATAAGATATTTAAATCATCATATTGTGTTCATATAATCAAATCATTTGATCTGCTGTTTTTTTTTTTATCGTACGACGGAAAGATACTATATTATGAACAATTATTATTATATATACACCGTTCTGTATTAAATTGTTACTGTCTATTATAAATTGTTCATACAATTATTTTAAAGAAAGCCGTTTTCCTCAGATACCCGCAGATTGTTAATTTCACGGCTCATTTATTTTACTATTATCTGAAAACGTATTATTTCATTATAAGATTGCTGTCTACGAAATGATTTAATAACAAAACTGACAAATGAAATAATAACTGCTATTTATACTAAAAAATCAATTTTAGTTGTATATAAATATAATGCAACTATAAATAAATGTTCAAAATAATACTAATAAGGTGTTCGATAGAAATATATGATATTGAGTTTGTTCGAATAAATCATATTATTAATATGGAATTTATGACCGATAAGAATTTGTTTAAGTATTTTATTTCTAAATTTATATACAAGTATTGTAATATAATATGGTGCAGTAGCTAATGTATTCTACAGTGAAATGTGTACAATTTATATAGAAGTAAATGTTATTGATCAGTGAAAAAAATCATCTATTGATTTATTTATTTATTATTCATTTATCTATTAATTAAATTATATTAGTACAATTCTTATTGTAAAATTTTTAAACAAAACATTATTAATCTTCAGATTTGTTTTTAGTTTATAAAGCATATGGGAGGTCATTAGATAATTATGATAGTATAGATTTATTTTTTGAGTTGTCTTGCAGTCTATTTAAATAACCAAATTTGGTATGAAATTACAAAATCGATCAAATTTAGATAATAAGTATTATAATGCTCTTTGAAGAACGTATCACAATATTTGGATTAACATTTAATAAAGAAATCGAAAAAAATATACGGTAAGTAGGAACATTACATAAACAGGTACATAATATTATTAGGCGAACACCTGCAGGAGTTGATTTTTTATTTTTAGATGAAAAACACTGCGATTCACCGCTAAAAATGCAGAAACATAAAAGTTGTATTGCCGGTAAAATAATGGAAAATATTTATTATTTGCTTAAAAAAAAATGTCTGTGAATAACCTATGTCCAATCTTAATGGAAAAATATCGATCTTTTGAGAAAACCATGAAGTCAAAACAGTCGGAAAATTCTTATCGTTAAGAAAACAGCGAATGCCGACTATATATAATTAAACGAAGAATCGAGATTATAATGGACGGGGATAACGCTTTTATTGTAAACTTTTATTGTCTCGTTGAGCGAAAAGTCATTTTCCGCAGATGAGAATAGTTTGCGTGATAAATTGTTTACAGCGATCCGAGCATAAACTATAAAAATCATGTTTTCCAAATTTGCAAATTCCATTGTCACTTATTATGAAATAAACATTATAAGGTATATGAAAATTCTAACCTAATGCGAAACATTTGTTGGGCTCTAGAATCGAATTTATCTAAACCAATTTACAAGACAATATACTCGTATGTATCTATCACGAAAAAAATTAAAAACCACGAGAATAAAAGCAACTTCTTTTAAAATTGTTGAAATAACTAAAGAGTAGACAGAATTGATCGATATACATTTTTATATATAAATAAGTTCTATTATAATTACATATTCTATAGTTATTATGTAATGACATAATTTTAATATAGCATAATATTTAACTATAACACTATTTTAAGGATAAAATATTATCAAACTGAAACTGGTTTTTAATTTGGATTTAATTAATACATTTTAATTGATTAAAACATATATAAACCGGAAATTATTATCAACAAAATTACAATGAAGATTTTAATTGTAAATTTATAAACATAATTCAAAAATATTTTTAAAACTATGAACTCATAAGTATCCAAAAATGTATTTAATTTCATATTTAGATAGGTTATCATAATTCTCAGTAATTTTATACCTACCAATAACAGTTAAAATAATTAAAATGGTTTTATAATTAGAATAAGAGTAATAAAATTGGTTTTAGGTTAACAAACTATACAGTATATGTATACTTCCAAAAATAAATAACATAAATATGTATCGAACCATTATTTATATTATGTTTTACATGACAACTACAAACAGTTATTGTCTATATTTACTTAAAAATATTTTTTATAATTTAATTACATTAAAATCATCTAAATTAATTTCTTAAATATACATATGTATATAAAATACATATGTAGAAATAAATTATTATTTTTCTGATGATTATTTTCCATAGGCTATTGAAAACTTTTTAAAGTTCCACTTCTTAATTTAAATTTAAATAATTATAAGTTAAAAAACTGCCATGAACTTCTGAACTTTAATTAATTTTCCATTAATAACGTATCCATAATTTATATATATATATTTATTTATTAATTCTGAGAAGTTTGTGGCCACAATATATAATACCTAATTGCAATTTTTTAAGCTGTTAAATCATGTTCTTATATATTATTTTATGTAGTGACTATAATAATTAGGAAGTGCTAATTTTAAAATAATTAGAAGAAAAAATGGTTTCGAATTAAATATACATTTACCTTGTATATATCTTAAACATCTTATATATGTATTAGATTTTATGAAGTACACATGTTAAACCCACTGAGTGCTCCTTGATAGAATATAATGGAATATCCTATGGATAGAACGAATGGTTACCAATATAACTTTTAACCAAAATATTGTACTAGCTTACAGTATAGATAAAAAATGCATAAGCATTACAATATTTGAATTTTTCAGACGAAAAATACATTTTTTTTTCACTACTATAAGACTACAAATATACATACATGTTATCACCCTAAATTTAAGAATACTAGGATAAACTTTTGTTGTAGCTTAGTTGATATAGTTGCTATTGATTGCTGTACCCGAAAGTTTAACAGTAAAAAAAAAAAAAAAAAAACTGCAATACCAATTTAATACATTACTTATTTACCGTTATAATTCAAAACAGTACACCATTTTTTACGGATCACTAAATGATTACCAGATTTATCCGAATTATACCAAATTGATAAATTTCTAATCGATATGAATACGAATATAAAAATTTAATAAAATATATTTTCTCGCATCAACATGATTTTCAGTCGGGTGAACACTTACGTTTTCCAACGGATTGACAACAGCGAACAGAAATCCACCATTTGCGGAGTTGAGTTTGAAATTGACCACGATGGAGAATTCCGGATAAAGTTTTTCAGGCAAGAATAATCGATACGGTGACTTGATGTCGGATCCGGGTTTGATGCCGAACGCTGGAAAACCGTCATCACCGTTGTCGAAATACAAATTTGGATCATCGAACGGAAGTTTAATGGCCGTTTGTAGATCGATTTCGTCTGAAAAACAATCAGAAAATGAATACAATTATATTTACAATAATATAATGTACATATATTGACCGATTATAATCCAATAACTAATGGATAAGATGAGTATAGCTATTATTATTTTTAATTAAATCTGAATTTATTAAAATTGTAGTACATAGAAACATCAAAAACTTACAATTATTCCAAATTTACTAAACACTTCAATTATTAATAAGGTAAGTGAATATTTTCGCAGTAAAAATTAAAGATGAGTGACATTCGATTTTTTGATACTTAATTATGACGAATTGGAATACAATTAGTTAATATCGTACGTTCCTAATTAAATTATGAAAACATTAAGATATAAATATTAAAAAAAGTAATTGGAAATGTTATTTGAAATGTATGTTATAATTAACATTAATTTATAAAAATATTATTATTGGTATGATCGAACAGGTTAAAAATAAATTCCATAGAAACTTTGGGCACGTATTACTTGATGTATACTTAAATACATTATACGAGTAGTTAGTATTAGGAAAAATCGAATATCTTGATTGTTAGAAAAATAATTGAACCAAATATTTATGATTAATTACTATTTTAAAATCTAATAATTTGGTATTTATTAGTTACTCGAATGACGAAAAATCTACTTTTCTACTAATTAATAATTTTACTACATTTTATTCTATTGTATTATTTATATTATTTTAATTCAAATAGCATTTTTTATTTTCTTATCTTTAAGTTTTTAGTATAATTCATAAATAACCATATATATATATATACTAGCTGAATTACCCGTCGTTGCCGGGTTTAAGTATATAAATGTATGTAACCTGCCAAGATTAAATTTTGTTAAATCTATTGAAATTTAAATTAATTTTTGAAATAATTTTTTATACATATTAATTTAGTTTTTAAGACAATGATTATTATCATAACCTATTCGATAAGTTATAGCTTACAACTACCTGAACCTCTCTACAGTTTGGTATTCTGTTGAATACATATAGCATCTCACTTCTCCGAATATTTTACTTTTGTCAATAAGTTCATGGTCTTTTTGACTTTTAACCAAAACACTCTTGCAATTATATCATGTCGATCATATGATCTTTGACCGGGAAGTAAAAGCTCTTTTATCTCGTCCCAGCGAGGATTACATGTAAAAGTAATAAAAAGGTCAGGACGACCGTAATGTCTAACGTAGGTCATAGCATCTTGTGTTCTTTCGTGCATGTACCTTGGCCCACCAGTAAAATTTGACGGGAGTATAACCATTTGGCCTAACTGATTAGCTTCTATGTCTCGTCGTCCAATCGCATCTTTTAAATGAATATAACTATCTGCACGCAATTTGGCTTGGTTGTTTTTGATGTAATTTAGTCTTTCAGTTTCAATTTTGGCGCATTCATCTACCAAATATTGACTGAAAAGAGAACGATAATTAACTAAATAGTTGTCTTCCCCTTCTCTGACCATTATTCTATATGAGTAAAAACTTGATGCAGTGACAGTTTTTTTAAGCGGTAACTTGGTTTTTGGATCGCGTTGTGATATATTGATTGCATACCCATCATTAACCCATCATTACCCAAAACATTAAAGGATACTGCAGTGCGTCGTATGCTCAATGTATCTCACTGATACGGTGAAGTGAGTTACTTCGGTTTTCGAGGATGATGTCTTTTCGATCAAACTGCTGATCTACTAACACTAAAGCAACTTCATTTGCCGTTGGTGCATTATATCTGCCTCTATGTTATTCTGGTGGTTTTTTATCTGTATGTATTACAACTTTAAATGACTCTGAAGGAGGTATTTTATCGATGGTAAATTGTAATGACCAATTGTAAATTATGCGGTGGCATGCCTAGTAAATCCAATGAGTTTAAAAACTCTGTTGGATAATTTACAACTTCAGTAGCATCGCAAACTGTATCTAGATTTGTATGACACCAAGTATTCTGGTAACAAATTTTGTATCTTGAGATTCAATTCGTTGACCTCCACATTTTTTGCTACTAAAATTGCTCTTTCTGCCAGCCACTCATGATTTGTGTATTGTCTGTGTACACTGGGACATATCTGGTCAATGAGAGCATCTTGCGAATAAATGATTGTGCAGAAATCGTTCGGTAATTTTATACATCCCGTTTCATCTGTAGTAACTTTCCCATCTCCAATATCTAACAATTGTTTTGAGAATCTTTTGCACGCAGCTTTTTTTGATTGAATCGAAATCGAAGTATCGAAATCGTTCGCTATCTATCTTTATATATATTTCGACCATGAATTGTTGACAAAGCTTATGCATCGTAAAATAAATTAATCCTGATCGCGTCTAATCATCAACCGATATGCATAATAATTTTTTGAACTAACATTCTTATTTGTTTTGGCACCTGTTACGGGATCTTTTTGTTTAACGTTTATGTAATACCCGTCATTTACTACTAAAAATAAAATTAATAGTTTTTAAATAGTTTTTAATAGTTTTTTAATAATTTTTTAATAGTTTTATTTAATATAATTCATTTTCAATAGCGCAGTTATCGACCTGGTCAAATATTAACTCGATTTCAACCCTTTAAATTCAAAATTTCAAAAAATCCTTTCTTAGCGCACGTCTACATCATAATAGCTATCTGTATGCCAAATTTCAGCCAGATCCGTCCAATGGTTTGGGCTGTTCGTTGATAGCAGTCAATCAGCTTACTGTTTTATATATACAGATATTGATGGGAAACATTGTTGTTATACATTTTAAAAAATAATCACCTTTCATTTTATACTATGGTACAACACAAAATTTTCAGAAAATGAGTACAAAACTATAAATATCAGAAATAACCCAAAAGAAAACAATCTTAATCAGATAAAGAAGATATTTTCCTAAAACCTGCTTATAAAACTGCTCCAAAAATTGCACATTTAAAAAAAGAATATTCCTTAACAGTATCACTATTTCTATAAGTAACTATAGAAAGAAAATGCTTCAACTTTAAGACCTCTTCAAAAAACTTAAAGGAATGAGATGAGTGAAAAAAAAAATAAAAAATAAGACTATAAGTCAAACAACAGTACAAAAAAAAATATTAAGCAAAAAACTGTCAAAAAGAAATTATTTAAATAAACTGTGTCTATCAAGTGTATAAAATTAAAAATTTTTGTGATAAATACTCAAATTTTACTAGTCATTAAAAGTACTAATAGACTGAGTGAAAGCTAAATGATTTATTATTAATTTTAATTTTATTTATATTATAAAAAATGTCAAGGGTTCATTTATCATAGTATCTACTATTTATATCAGAGAAATGTTTTTTGTTTTTATAATTCACAATACAATTAAAAAATATTTAATAAAGAATACAATATTGTTTTACTAAATATGTGATTGACTATCATATTGCATGGGATACATGAAAAAAAAAGTATTTCATTAATATATTGACTAAAAAATAAACAAATTATCATTAAACATTAATTGTTTTTTAATTTTTACTAACTAATTAATCAATAATATTTATAAATAATAATGTATTAAATTTTCGAAAGGTAAAGTTAATTATTTTATGTATTATGAGTATTTATCATTTTTAAAATTCTTTAAATTCAATCATCTTAGAATTAAGTTTTTTTAGTTACTACACTAGTGTTCTGATGGTACAATATGATCATATATAATAACATAAATGCTATTTTTTTAAAAATAGCATTATAATTTATAAATATGATACAGATTGTAATATTATATAACATGATAAATTAGTTTTAAAAATTATTTTTATTTGCATTTTAAAACAAAAATTTTCTACTGGTTTGTTTATATTTTATTTTATTTTGAATCTTTTATTAAATTTAAATGTACAAAAAATAGTATGTATTTTACTCAATACATATACTGAGTGTTTCTTATCCATTCGATTGCATTATTTAGATTATTTTACCAAGTGAATCACTCGATAGTGATAATATCTTAATTATTGCCAACGCAAATTATAATAAACTACTGAAGTATTAATATATCTAGTAAAATTGATTTTAGAATATACTGATACACTATTCTATTAGAATTTGTAGCACCTACGTGGACGCAGCCTCGAAACGTCGCTGTAATAATTTTCTTTCGATTTGATATAAACCGATTTTCAATAACAGAAATTAAAACTTACTATTCAAAGAAAACTCTTAACAGTAATTAAAATACAAAAAAAAATTTCAACAATAAGAACATTAACTATTAATAATTTTTAATAATAATTATTGTTTCTGTTCTATTTTTTTCAAGTTGGATGCATATAATTACAGGAACGGCAAGTGGCTACAAAACGTAGAAGTAAATGCATGTCTGTAATAAAACAAATATATCACTGTGCAAGGTTTTTTTATTGCAAATTTCCGGTAAAATATAATGTATTTTGTATCGAAATAAAATATGACCCTTGTCTAAACGTTTTGAATTATTAATGCCAGAGGAGAAAATTGAAGTTTATTCGTATATTTTTATTTCCGATTAAAAACAGCAATTTCGAATTGCAGATTTTTAAATTCAAGAGTGTCTCAGTATATTTTGATTTGAAATCTCGATTTGTATGCAGTTATCGCTTTCGCTGTCGCGTACAATAAGAGCAATAGTATTTTATTCCTATAGATGTTGCATTTCCCAGAAAATGTGTACTAGTTAAACACAAATCAATAAAAATACATAGTGCAAATAATATCATACTCAAATGTGACTGAAATCAGGAAATAATATTTTCTTGGTATATAATACCACATATCCCATGATTTCCAGAAAATTGAATTTCATTTGTATTTTATAATACATAAGTTAAGTGATTATCCTAGAAAATGAATAAATCTCAATTCAACATCGTGCAAATATTGGACCTTTAAACTTAAAGAAAAATCTTTTTTTTTAAATTACAAATCCTCGTTTATAAATATTTACAATAATATATTATATAGAATATATTGGTAACATTACGGTATAATAGTTTTCATTTATA